GTGAATTTTTTTTTAATCCACGATCGATTTTTTTGAAAATTTGTTATTTTTTTTTTTAATCCATATTATTCAAAGAGAAAATGAGAGAGATGATGATTTTGAGGCCACCCTATCCCAGCTATATTATTCACATATCGAGTCCCAACAGCAACAGTATAGGGATGAGCACGAAATACTGTAAATTAAATGCTGAATGGCGGTTCATGCAGGGAAAGAATATATCAATATTCGCATATTCATTCAAAAACATGAAAAATCTTAATGGAGTACCCTCATTTTTTATTGAATTCCTAAAAAACAATATTTATAATGCATTTTAATAATTTTTTCGAATTTTTTTTAAGCTTTATTCTGACCGATTCACCCGATTCCCGATTCGGATCGCTGATTTGCTGATCCGGATCGGTTTTTTAGAAACCCGATCCGGGTCACCGATCCGTTTTTTAAACCATTGGTTAAAACCAATGATTTACATGTTTCCTTCACGAGATTATCATTTTAAAATTTATTTATTTTTACATATTCATGATATCCACAATTGATATTATGTATACCATAAAATTTAAGTCCTAACAAAAATAGATTTTTAAGAGGGGAGTCGTAGAACTCAAAGAAACCTTGTCCTCTCTTTTCTATGAGAGAGAGAGAGAGGTTCTTGGAACATTTTTTGGGTTGGTGGAGTACCACTCTTTCTTCTCTTGAACGTTGTGTTCCACTCAACCCGCAGCTCCAAATTTCAGATGCATAATCAATTGCATAATACTCGATTTGTATACGTAATAATTATTCACACCTACTGGCTTAAATTTACAAGTAGAGAGGATTAGAGAGAGCGAGAGAGGAGGAAAGAGAAGAGGAATTTCTTTTATGGTGAACTTGTTATCATTGAGAATTTCTTTTTTGGGGAATTTGTAATTTTTGAGAATTTTTCTTTTGGTGAACTTGTAATCGCTAATGCTTGGAAAAAAAGAGATGAACCCGCCAAAAATGCTAGATACTGAAAGGGAATGTCGTTGGACGGTAAATAGCAAAAAACCAGGGCTCTTCCGGAACAATTGGGAATAGTTTTTGTTTCTCGATATATCTCCAAGGCCATGAAACTTTAACTTATAGAAAGATGGAAGGAGACTGTTTTCCAATGTTCGACTTTCTTTCCTGACATCTCTGATAAGTGGGT